GCTGACAGCAGCATGTGGTTTGATTTGAACTCTGCGAATCTAATGCTGTCGACTTTGTTATTGGTATTATGACTAAGGTAGTGTGCCTGTTGTTTCATGTTTTATTGGATTACTATTAATAAGAGCCCGTCTTTTAAATAATCTTCCATACAGCACTCTCATCTGTGTCCTGTCCCACTAGACATAACCGTAGGCAGTAATCAGAGTGTGAGATACAGTCTACAGTCACTTGTACTGACTTACCACTGTTGTAGTTTCACTCCCTATTATCTGAAACAAGTATTTTGTCCTGTCATGCTGTGTGTTTCAGATTCGTTTAGCCTGAGTCTCTGGCTCTACTATGTGCTCTGACCCAGCATGGACCAGTGCTGACCCACAAATGTCCTTCTCTTACCCTACTATTATAACTACAGGAGTGACACCTCCTCCCTGTGGCAGGTCCAGAAGAGATGCTAACAAGATGGTGTCTGTCACTCTAAAGATGGGTCAGCTGACATGATTCGGACAAACAGCTGACACAACCTTTATCACTGACTCGGCCTCATCCCTGAGGAGGAGAGACTCAGCAAACTGTTCTGTAAAGTTGTGTGTTGAGGACAGTGAGCACACAGCAATCTGTGACCTCCCCCAGTCTTTTCTGACATCTAGGAGTAAAATATACGCTTCACACTGGTTTTCACCATGGTGGCCAGCTAACTTATAAGCAAGCTATAAAACTTCGATTGATACAAATTACATCTACAAGGACTGAAAGCACTGCTTCATTTCAACTCATCAATCCTCGGCTGCAGTGGTAGACGGAGAACTCATCCTCTCATCCTTCCTCCATCTCGACAAACCCTCAACTTACGTTATCCCTAGTGGGCTCGGTCTCTGTGATAGCCTGGATGGCATAGGCCAGGAAGCAGAGGAAGGCACCAATCCACAGCAGGATGGAGAAGCCACCAAACAACTGACGACAGAACTTGATCCACTCCGGGATAGTGGGGGGTGGAGTTAGGGCGTTGGGGCCATCCCTGGCCAGGTACTCTGCTGCTCTGGCATTGGTCAGACCCTGGGCAGCAGGA